AATAATGAAACTAAAATCTCTGAACAGGCTAAACTAAAAAACCAAAGCAGAAGTCCAACTCCAAACTACCCAGAAACACTAGAGAATATTCATGGCAAAAACCTCCTAAAACCAAAACTTCTACTCCCTTCTTCCCAATCTATGTGATGTTATTTCCTTTTTCGTTTGTCCCAAACAAAAATGACAGCCTTCTAATATTTAAAAATAATTTGACTTTAAACTTTTCATCTTAACTAATGAGATTGTTTTATACCCACACAAATAATTTATTTTAGACCACAAGCTTAAAAAAACATTTTTCCCAGTTTTAAACTTCATCAAACATCAATTGAGTAAGTAATTGATAAGCTGAAACATCAAAATAAAAGGAAAAAATAACTGCCCCTTCCAAGAAAGTTGCAAAAAAACAGATTTTTGAGGGGAAAAAAAGAACCTTGATATGGACGGTGCCACCGCCAAACTGACTTCCAGTTTTATTGTGAAGCTCCAACCAAGCAGTATTCTTGTAAAAGCAAGCACCTTTCCACTCAAGGGTACTATTGTTTGATATTGAAGCAGCCCCCACAAAAGAGGGCAACAGGTCTACAGCACTATAGAGGGAGTTAACAATAGGCCATGACACTTTTCCAGGTAACAGTGGCAGAACATCCTTTAGATGAAATAGTGATTTTGACCCATGTATTTGCAATGGAAAGAAACAGGAAAAAATCAAGACACTGAAAAAAAATTGGGTCTTCAAGAAAACCGCCATGGCTGTGTTCTGTGGAAGCTAGGTAGGGGGTTTGGACTTTGGTGGGGTCAAGATGGTTAATAAAGAAATGGGTTGCCACAGAATCAAGTTACTATCATTTAATATAACTTCAGAATCAACAGAAATTGAATTTTGCAGACGGTCTATTTGATTACTTAGTTCCATATGGTTATTGATGTTTTCAAGAAAGAGTCGGTTTTTAGTTCCGTGAAGTTATCAACTTTTGCCCCTTTCTTCCCTTTTCGGCTGTATTTTCATAAATTAGGAAATTGGTTTCTAATTTTAAGCTACGTCCACGCGAGAGCTATTGCTGACATCCTCAGACACTTTTGTTGTTGTGAACTGAATTGTCCAATATTTTTGTACTTGTTACTATCTTTGTCTTAGCAAGTACTCCAAATAAAAAAAAAGTTATTTATTCGTGAAACTCCAAAACATTGCATTAAAAAAAGTTATTTATTCGTGAAACTCCAAAACATTGCATTGTAGTTGTAAATGTGCTGGTTGGTTTTGTTGCAAGAAACGTCTCTGTCAATTGTCATTACTATAATCTATAATCTCCGATTAAGGAGGAGAGCAATTCCGATCTTTAATTGGATTAGCTGGATTTCCTTTTAATCAATTTTATATGAATTTGGAATATCCAAGTGATCGTATTAGGACAGTAGATGGCCGTTGACTTTGGGTTGTGCTCGAAGGAAGTTGACTGATTTACACAAATAGCCATTTTTGCGGCCTTGTATTTTGAAATGGGAAGCTTACACAAATGTCCCAAATAAGTCTCAACTTACCAACTTCTAACCATTAGTCATAGACTTATCAAAACTAGTCAAACACATATAAAAATTAAAAAACCAAATAAATAAGGCTCTTTTTCTCAAAGAATCACATGCAAAAATCTCCTTCTATATTTTTAAACGTGATTAGCAACATTAGATGCAAGACGAAAAGGAAATTTCATGGATGAGGTAGCAAATAAGGTGATGAAATACAAAAAAAAAAATACAATATTTCAAAAATCTAAGCGAAAAAGGAACTTTTTCAATGGGTATAGTTGAAATTCATTGAAAACATATAGATAAGTCAGTATATAAAATTTGAGGAAGATTGGAGGTGATTTGGACTGATTTTGTATCAAAATTCGTAATTAAATTGAGTTCAAAAAATTCTTCTGCGACACATGTATCAAACATGTATCAAACATGTATCACGCATGTATCTCACACACAGGTATACATGTGATACATAATTGATACAAATATGATACATATGTGATACACAAATGATACACAATTGTGATACACATATCATTTTTTTCATGTTCAGTTTTTACTTCGAATTTTCAATTCAAACCACCTCAAAACATCACCAAATCATCCCAAAACTGAGATTCAAGTTACTTAAGATATACCCAATCTATTCTAATAACACCCAGAAAGCAAAAATTTGAAAATTAGACCCATGGTTATAAAGTTTGAAAGGATATTGATTTGCAAATGGTCAATTTTATTATACCCCTAATTAGTTCTATATGGTTATTGATTTTCTTTTGTTAGTTCCAAAGAGTCATTTTTAGTTCCGGGAAGTGATCAACTTTGCCCCTTTTGTCCTCTTTTGGCTAATTAAAGGATAAAATAGTCTTTGGAGTTCGATAAAATTCTCATAAATTTGAGTAGTTGAATTTTTAATTTGCAATTCCTAGGTTACCTCCACGTCATAGTGCTCTGTCCTTTGTGAACTGAATTTTCTGATGTTCTTATATTCTGTCATTTTCTTCTTAGCAAAGCAAAATACACGCGAAAAGGCCAAATCGTATATTTTCCACGAAAACAATTGGCTTTTTAATTTATTTTTTGATGTTTGGTAAATCAGGAAAAAATATTGTNGGTGGGGTGATCGAGGTAGGGGTTGGGCTGGGATGTTGGAGGTAGAAATGTGAAAGGTTAATTATGAAACTTGATTCTCTACTCTCATTTGGGAAATCATTTTCCTGAATTTTAAGGAACTAGTTTTTCTATAAACTAAAATAAAAAAGTATTTTGGAAATTTGACCAACTTAGGAAATTGAGAAAAATATTTTCCTCCATACCAAACACAACCAAAGTGAGTAGTTTTCTTTTCTTATCAAAAGATAAATCCTGCCCCTCCAGTATTAGGAAAAATCAAAAGATTCATATTTTTTTTTTATTAAAAAAAAAAACAAATGTTATTCTTAATTGCAATGGAACTAAATACATTTCTTATTATTTGAAGAATGAAATTGTCACAAGATGCCAAGATGGCATCACTTTTGTTGGAGCTCGTAATAGGACAAAAATGTTAACGTAATATAGATGATGTAGATAGTCCAAGTTTTGGGATAAGCCAAACTTGATAGACAGAACTTTCTGCAGTTGCGTCTAGCATATTACAATTGTGGTTACGTTATATCCTTGAAACGTTGAAGCAAGAAGATTAACTTCAGCAAAGGGCCTAAATAACCAAAATCTACTGAGATAAGTAATGGTCTTTGAAGATAGTCGAAGCAATAGAAAACAAAGAAAATATATGAGAAAATTGTTAAATTACATTATCATCCTTTACCTTTTCATCTAGTAGTACTTTCTATAGCTTTATGTCTAGCCTTTTTACTTTCTTCTCGTCTTTTCATTATATACTTTTCTCACGTTTCTAAGTTTTGCATAGCTCACCTTCGTTTTCGTTTTCGTTTTCGTGATAGACCATATCTATATCTCTATATTTATAACTCTATCAACAAATTCATAGCTATATATATATATATATATATATATACTTGCTCATGTTTGGGGCTAGTCACCTTGATAAAACTATCTAATACATCCAAAAATGATTGTTTCCTTTGACAAGACGTAACAATGCCAAAGAAAATGAGCAGTGATCACTTAGGGCTCTTCTCATGCTCTTATTTCTAGATTCTTAGAAGGACTATATGGTTGTTGATCTTAATCATCGACTTCCTTTCATGCTCGTGTTTCAACTAGCATTAAATTACGGCCAGAAACTAAGTATAGTAATATTTACGTTTATGTTGTTGAAAGAGTTACTTGAGGAGTAAAATTTCGGATAAGTAAAGCAGATGAATTTTATTTCGGCAGGCAATCTACGTGCATCTATTATTTCACGAGAGAATCAAACATATTGAGATTGATTTTCACTTATAAATATGACAAAACAATTGGAGTTTATATGCCAGTTTTGTTAGCACAATGATCAATTGACAAACTCATTCACCAAAAGCAATTTAGGGACCATGTTTGTATTTATATGTGGTTTGTATATTCCAACTTGAGGTGGAGTATACCATATGACCAAATTAATTAGTACCATTACAGGAGAGTATTCTCTAATTCTCCATATGATAATATAGAATATTCTATATTTAGTTTAAGGATAATTAGATTACTTGCTTTATTAGGTGTTAAGTATAGATTAATAATATATTGTGCGTGTCTTAATACTTTTACAGAAAGAGCTCCTCTTTTGTATCGCATTGGCCAAGTACACTTTGATAGAAAATTAGCAGTAATTCAACAAAAAGACAAGAGAATCCTCAAAACAGAGAAATGAACTTTTTTTACTAGAAGGGAATGACAAGAATGTCATGCAAAGGAAACAATCGTTGGCACCCACTGAAATATATTACTTTACTTAAGAAAATAGAAAGTAGTACTCCCTATATGCCTACAAGAATGGGTTTGAATATAAAGCTCGATGCATCTAGTTACATATATTCTTCTTTTTTTTAATTTTTTTTTAATTAATTTATGTAGTGAGAAACTAAATAAAAATTAAAAAGTATAGAAATAATTTTTATATTAAAAACAATTGGGAAATGTTTTTTTATTTAAAATTGTAGTAAAAATCAACTATTTGACTTAACAAATAATAATAGCGCTAAATAAATAGGAAGAGTTGGATATACAAATAAAAGGAATCAAATATTGTAATCGTTTTTGTATTTAGTGATGAAATGAGGTGAAAATAAACTGAGCCGAATTAACCTATTGGTTTTTTCTTAGATGCCTTTTTCCTTTTATTTTCTTTAAACAACAAATTCAAAATGGCACCAATTATCCTTCATTACAAGGCATATTATGTACTTTTTGGTCCTTTTGTTCAATTTGACAGCAAAACATTCTCTTTCAACTAGAAAGTATTTGGCATGGTAGTTCCCGTCTTTATGTGAAGTTAAAGGGGATATGTAATCCCTCACCTGAAAGTTTGAGGGTTAAATCCAACTGTCAAAATAATACTCTGATATAAAACTTCTGGATGCCCAAATCAACCTGTAGTTTCATCCCTAATCCTAAAATTGATGTTTGATATTACAGATGTAAATAAGCAGAAGAGAGTAGCAAAAAGCTACTAGACTATGAGTATTCATACAACAAGAACTACGTCTTGATCCCAAGCAAGTTATGGTCAGCTATATATATCCTCAATAACCATGTGGCTCCATTTAAGCACATCTCAGACTAACACGAGTATCCATCTATCATAAATAAGAAAAAAATTCCTTCGTTGTATAAGCTGTTACCTGCCACGTATGTTTTGTGAATTATGCTGATATACCAGTAGCTTCCTTTGGTATCAAAAAGAGGAAGGCTACTGGGATGAAAGTGCAGAGGACCTGAATACCAATGCCTAAGAAGAGATTGTCGAAAGACCCCGAAGAGATGTTTAGCACTGAAGCCAGCCCTGCTCCAACAAAAGATCCCACTGTCGTTCCTAAGTTGTTTATCGACATGAATAATGCAAACAAAGTCCCTTCAATGCCCGGAGGACAAAGTTGTCCTGATAAGATGAGAAAGGGCATGAACCTGCAACAGGAAGAAAATACTTCAAATGCTTTGTGACAAATATGGAACAACAAATACTCATGTTTTATACTTAACAGATGTTAGCTGCTTCAGATGTTCTATAACAACTTTTAACAAGAGCATATATAAGAAAACTATTGTACATACTTGAATTGATTGATGCCATCAGAAAGAGCAGACCCAAAAAGCACTGTAAACTTGTCCGATATACCAAAATAAACATTAGCTCGAGAAACCAGAACCATATCTAGAACAGTCAAAAGGGCCACACCTACTTGAGTAAACCTGCATAAATTATAAATAGGAAAATAAAGTGATTTGATAATCTAAGTCAATATTCCTTCACATCACATGTACAAGTCAAAGATCTACTTACATGAGAATATATCGCAACCTCATCTTTTTTAAATAGCGATTGTAAGTCAAGGTCCCGATCATGAGGCCCAACCATCCAAGAACACGTGCTGTTCCAAGGAAAGATGCATCTAATTTTAAGAACTCTGTCTGATAGTAGAACATAACCGTCGAGAGATTTGGAACTGTCACGTGAGCCAAAAAGAACCAAGCCATTGGTCTGGATTCCAAGGAACAATTAGCAAGAGGATAACCACCGTAACATCAGTTAATTAAGAGAAGGTAAAATAGAAATGGTATTATAATAAAAAAGACAAGAAGATGGGAGACTACTGAAGAATTCACAACCTCCCATGAGGTCCCAACTGACATATTGAAACATGGAAGCATGAAATTCAATGAATGGAAGCACCAAAAAAAAAAAGAAAACCTTGGCCAGTGATTTAATCTGTTGGAAGTAACGCTGCCACTTGGATCTTTCTTAAGACATTGTAATACAAGGCCAATACTGTAACTGATGAAAGTGTTTTTGGAATTGCAGTTTCATTGTTCCAACTTAAGGCGATGCGAGTCCATTTTTATGCTAATGAAAGCAATCCCTTCACAAGTCTATTACCTCTTCCAATATGGTATAAAGATAGAAAGAAATGGCATCACCAAGAAAGATTGAAAAAGAAGGTAGAGAAAGATTTTCAAGACCTAGGCCCCATCCTATCATATATATACACTGAAGCACGTAGTGTTCTAGCAGAAGCTCCAAAAGGAAAAAAGATTGATTCGTGACTATTCATTATAAAGCATCAAGAGAAAAAGAAATATTAAACTCTCGCACAAGTTACCTTAAAATGGCTGGCTGGCGGAAAGCCCTAAATAATGTGTAGGTGGCCATTTTCAGAGATTGATACCATTGAGACAATGATGATCCGGTTTTGTCAGGAGCCTGAAGTTTATTTATTGGAGTTGGTGCCCTTTTTGAATTTTTCTGGCTCTTCTTTCTCCTCAAAGTACTAATTTTCGATTTTTCACTAGAGAACTTATCTTCTTCTTCAATACTTCCAATCGTCATTTCAGAACCATTAGATGCAGAACCATCAGGGAGTGCTTTACCTTGTACAGAACCCTCCTCAACCAAACCACACGAAAAGAGCTGTAAAGCAGGTAAGACGGAGAAAAGGAGGAATATCCGATCTATCTGTAAATTGACTAATGCATATCCTCCCAGCAAACTCCCACAGATTCCTCCGAATGCCATAGCCAGCCATGATATTGACTGAAGATCTCCAGCAAATGATGCCCTGCTGACAAGTAATGCTAAATTAAAACAAAATCATGCCTTTCACGCTCAACGAAATTAATCTAAATATTTTCGGTGCAAGTTGCACATGACAGCGTCTAAACCTGTAGAATTTGCATGTAAAATAAAATAAGACTTTAACAATTAGGTGACAATTAACAAATCAAACTTCACATAAACCCAGGCATCTGTCGTAAAAAATGAAAGCAAAGCCCTTTTTACAACTATATTTAACCATGAACTGAATAGACAAGTCATATCCATGGTACAACCTGCTATTTGATCTGACTAATTTGACATTTACTTTTGTTGTATGGTCAAAGGCTTAGTTTTGGTCCAGATATATTTTAAAATTACGTGTTTTTGCAGCTACTTAAAATTATCCAATTCGAACAGCCCTTCTAATTAGAATGACAGAAAAAGTCCCATGTAGAAGAACATACCGCTCAAATCTTACCGCCTCAGCGATCATTGCATCAATTACGACATCAGCCATTGCAGAGCCCAGGTTCTGCACTGTCAAAAGAATCATGAGTTCTATCCTCGTATTTCTCAGGAAAGCACTTAACCCTAAAATTAGCCATGGCAACAGCGAGAGCAAAGTTGCAAGTGTAAGGTAGGGGACTCTTTTCCTTCCTCTGATTGGGAAACAATCAGATAATATCCTGCAAACAGCATATTGAATAAGGTCTTGATGGTGCAGAAGAGCAAAAAATGAACAATTTTCCTGACATGGTTTCATGAGAAAACAACAAAAACGAGCTTAGATGAGTCTAAGTCATGAACTGCACACCACCAGTTATTGACCATACAACAACTACGCCTCAGTTATGGACCATCTTATAATAAATCTATTGTTTAATGACAATTTCCATGATTTAAGAAAATTCTATCTGGCTTAGCCATATTCTTAGGTTTCCACAATAAGATGCTACCATATGTTAGAAATTGATCCGATGATGTTTATTAAAACTCCAAGAAACTGTCAAAAAAATTGTCACAGCCTTTTTCTTTATATGTTAATTCTAGAACATATCAAAATGCCACCTAAAAGAGAACATTGTTCTTAATATTCATTTCACATTGATCTACAGCTCCTTTTGTTTCCGGTACTGCAAATTCGAGCTGCAATCAGATGGAAGGAAACCAAACATCTTAACAAACTTTTTCTTTTGATTTGTACACCTGGCACTTGAATGTTTTAGATTAATTGACCAAATCTATAGGATTCATTAAATTCAATAGAATCTGATATTCAGCTCAAGCCTAGTTCTACTTAACATTAAACATTTACAAGTAAGTTGAGCCTGCTAGGCAGTAGAAAAAGCTAATTAAGTGCCCCTGGTCCGCTTACAAAAGCACAGAGGTGAGTTTTTTTTTTTTTGAAAAGGTAATAAGATTTCATTAATGAAGAGCATAAATACCCGTATACTAGAATTATACGAAAAAATAGAGAAACCTCACAAGAAAATATGGTTCTCTACGAAAAATATACCGAATCTTCTATGCTTAAAGGAATCTCATGAGTGCACCAAGAAGTCCACAAGTCTTCTATTTAACCCCAAGGGCCTAATAATCATGGACACTAGCCACAATGTGATGGAATGAGATAAAGTGTCTTCGAACTATGCCACCAGGTACTATATGTACTGGGAGAGGCACTTACTGCCCAAATCAGGTATCCAACTCTTTGATTTGAATATGATGTAAAAAATGAGGTCAGATACATGAAGAAAGGGGGAGCAGAGGACTTAAAGGGATGAGGTAGGGAAGACAATAAGGAACTGCANGGGGGGGGTGTACAACTTGTCTATTTCATTTATCTTATCGCTTATTATTTGTCAATTATGTTTGCGCTCCTTAAAGTTTTGGAAATCATAGTTCAACATAAGATATTAAAAGAAAAAAAGAAGATAATCATCAATTAGTATATACATAATTATCCTGGCTCATGGACCTATAGGTAAAATTCTATGTTTCTAAAGCTCAAAAACTAACGTTAAACATCTAATATTAACTCAATTCAAGAACGACGATCTACCAAATCAGATTGAACTCATCCAAATTTGCTCTGAAGGGTTGTTTAGCTTAATTTGTTTCAGTTCTATGCTTGAGAATTGTTATATTTATTTAGACAATACTGAACAAGATTAAACACACAGCAAGGACACCATTTTCTATTCACAAGTATGCATTACAGAAGCTCACAAGAGGTTGAGTGTGCAAGATAGATAAATACCCATATAAAGGTTTTATGCTCCATGGAAAGAATGCTATCGAAGTGATAAATTGGGAGGCTGATGGAGATAACTTCAAGTTGTCTTTCAACTGATATGAAACTGCTGTCCAAACAAAAGATCTGAAACCCTGCTTCCAGAAATAGAGAATAGTGTTAATTATACCCAAGGGATTTCAAAAAGGAATATAAACATAATAGGCATCCAATAAAAACCTACAAAATGCAATTAAGAGATGCTCAAATGGACAACAAAAGTGTACAGGGAACCAAGAGATTATATGACCACTCACTGTTTATTTTTTTTCGTTTTTTTTGTTTCAAGTTCACTTTCCTGCACCTCTGCAATTAATTCAAGGAACAGCAGAGCAACACTGTATGCTCTCTCTTTTAAAACAAAAAGGCTCCCAAAATACTCTAATAGAGTAAGAGGGGCATCATAGAAGACAAGCTAGAGAAAACCTTAAGGGTAGTTTGTTCAAGTACTAGTTATGCAGGAATTTTAACGCAAGGAGTGTTTATGCAGTGAACGATAATGTAGGTATAATCTTGCAGTGAATAATAATACAAAGAATGTAATGTAGGGATTACCTACTTTAAGAGCATTTCTATCTTTAAATACTTTTATCCACGTATTGCTAATATACATAATCTTATTTCCACATTTTATCCCGCATAAAGAAAAACATAATTCCTGCATAAGCTATGCCAGTATTAAGCTTAATGCTACCAACCAAGTAATGCATTACTTATGTGGCCAACCAAAACTGCATTACTTATCAAATATTTAATTTTTTCTTATAGAGCCAACTAAACATAGTATTACTTGATGGGTGATCTTATGTAGAGATTATTTTGCTAATAAACCAAAGGATCCCTAAGATATTTCATTGAGGTAAACAGTCAAGATAACTTATATTAAAGGAAAAATTTTAATTGCAAGATAAGAGAACAATCTTGTTGTTCATTATGCATAATTTTGCCCAAGCTGTGTAAGACTTCGTTCAAGCAAATAAAAAGAAGGCAACAAGGTGAAATTACATCCCTTGTGGGTAGCAGCATATTGAGTCCAAGATTTTAATATAGTTTTCTAGGTATGATCTTCGCATCTTGCAACAGCTTGTCCCACATCTGGTCCTGTAACGTATTTTACCAAACTTCTGATGAGGAGTTTCTCTTTATGTTCAATTGCCTAGGGTTAAATTCAATCTTTTAATTTCTTGCAGTCAATGTGCTTTTGGGAGTTCCTGCTCCTCTCCCACTCCACCACTTGACTACATATCTATGGAAAGAAAAAGCATAAAGCTTTGATATTTGCTAAACAGACAGCACAATTGCTAGTTTTCAGTTACAACTAAACTGCAATTTCCCCATTTCAATCCTCTAAATCTTTTACTAAGGACCCGTTTGGCCATGAGTTTTGCCAAAATAAATTTGGAATTTATTTGGCAAACACATGTTTGGCCATAGATTTTTCCCACATTTTGGCAAAATCCCAAATCCCAAAATCACCTCAATTGCTGATTTTGGGCCAAAACTTGACCACTACATTTTTAAATTTTTTTAAATATTACCCCAAACTTTTATAGTTTGTAAAAGAGCCCACATTTAAATAATCACCTCAATTTCTGCTCTTGTTCCTTCTTCTTTCTTTGTATATGTTCTCGAAAGAAACTGAGATTGATATCTACTCTGAGGAAACTGTGACTACCCACTTGCAATTTGTCTTGCAAAAACATGGTTTAGCTGACGAAAAATTTTCACCAGCAGTGCCTTTTTTGATTAACCCCAGCTTTCGCAAGATATTCATTCATATGACCGAAAAAAATCAAGTCAAATGGTTTAACGACTTAAAGAAAAATTGAGCTAACTGTTATTTTCATTTTGTTATGTTGTACTCTAATGCATGAAACACTGATGCTAATTATTTTAGTTGTACGTTGTGGTGTAGGCATGATTGTAATCTGAGTAATGACTTCCTATGTGTAATATGAGTAATGACTTCCTATGTGTAATCTGAGTAATGAAGGTTATGTATATACAAGATATCAAGTTTGTTTGTTTGGTACTATTGGGTATTTGTGATAGTTTTTGGAACTTGTGGGTATAAGTCATGTTTCATGTTTTTTCAAATAAAAAGTGAAATATGTTTTGAAAAATCATGTCCAAACACATTTTCATCTTCAAATCAAACTTCACCCAAATCAGAATTTTCAAAACAAATTTGGGAATCTATGGCCAAACACTAGCTAAATCTACTCTTAAGTCAGATCTTTGGACTGGAGTAAAGTACTTTCGAGTTGCTCTTGGCCGAAAGGCCTCCTTCTGGCTCTGCATGCACTGCTTGGATCAATTAGATTGTGATCTTATGATTCAAAAGCACTATACAACTGTATTTACCTTAACCACAGAAAAGTTACAATGCAGTTATACCCAAGATGAGATCAAGCCTCTTTTTTAGCCTGTAACCACCAGAATATACAAGTCTTCTAATAAATTAGTTTAGCCCCATGTAAGAGGCCATGCCTAAATTATCCGGAAGAATATATTTTGAAAGAGACACTAAATGAGTAAGGTTTTTTTTTTGTTTGACTTAGTTTGAAAGAGATATCAAATCGGTGCAGATACGTTTTATGTGAAAAGTAAACATAAGTTTAATTGGCGCCTGATGATTACTTTTGATGGCAAAGGTAGGAAAAGTTGTTAAAGGAGCTTATACAGAAAAAAGTAGCTTAATAACCTTGAAGCCTTGCTAACCAAAGTTCTTGTAACGGGCATTTTCAAGCTGCAAAAAGAACTAGTCTAGATGTTAAGATAAGCATGGAACCTAATACATTAACAACTACGCAACAATCCCAAACTAGTTAACTCTGCTATATAAAACTCGATATCTATTAAGCTCCATTTAGCTCGTTTCATTTCACCACTCACGCACGGAGCCTGATGCAATAAGAAATTCGCAGAACACACAACAACAACATAGGCCTCAGTCCCGAAAAAGTTCAGTTGACTTTATTATTTCAAATAACCGATAAATCTCAAAGGGCCAATGGCTCACAGTTCGAAACTCGAGTATAATGGACAAACTTGTGACGTGCGCACCTAACCCACACATCACAAGGTGCGCTCTTACACCTAGACCAGAGCCCAGGGCAAGTTGGGTCGACTAGATGAATCCTTACCGATCATGTTTCTCCATTTAAACTCGTCCCAGAACACGCAACTCAAAAACAAAATTGAACTTTGACATAGAACAATTTAAAAGTAGACAAGCTAAAATTCATCGTAAAACCCAGAAACTCCGCCCGTTAAAACATAAAAAAGACCCTCTGAGCCCCAAATGCTGAAAATTGCTAACTGTTGTCTAGAAATGAAAAGAGAATTTCTATATAATGTAGGAAACCATCACTAGGATAAATTAAAAAAAATAGAAAAAGGTAAAAAAAAAAAGTTGGGGGGGAATGGAGAAAGAGAGAACCTGGGTGAAGTAAATAAGGCAAACAAGCCAGAGAAAGGAAGCCCCAAAAGTAGTGCGTAACTGCTTCAACCAACCCATCATTTTTGGGATCACTCAGTCACAAACAAAATGCCTCTTCCCAATCGATGAATAAATTTGATTGACTCTTTTTTTTTTCTTCTCCAGTCGTTCCTTTTTTGACTGGGAAATGGGGATGCCCAGATTACATGGATCCACTCAACTTCTTTTACGATTGGAAGGAATTTAATAAATTAAGTAATGTTTCTAACGTTGCAAAACTGCTCCATTTGTTAATTTAAATCTAACGTGTTCATTACTCAAGCATATTTCGTCTTCTTTTTCATCGTTTTTCCTCTTTGCCTTCGTCAAGTCCACAATGGACCAGCGCACGCGTTAATTTATTTTTTAGGTGACAGTTAAAACTCCATTTCCACAAAATTATATAGATGAGTTACGTAAATATACTTTAATTTATTTATTTATTATTTATTTCAGTTAAATTGGTATACATCTTCATATTAGATTCTTTTCTACGACCAAACACGTATAAAGATTTTAGGTACTATACTTAGGTNATCCAAGCATATTTTATTCTAATGCTCAATAAATTGTCTTAAGACAAATTACACTACTAGAAATCAGGTGATTTCCGTCCGAGGTTTTCCGATCGAAATCGGTCGGAAATAAGAATATTTGGTCGCAAAAGTCAACAAAAATTTTCTGACAGCAAAAAAATAAAAATTCCGACAGATTTCGGTCGGAAATTGGTCAAATATTTGGTCATACTTATATATAATGTACAAAAATAATTATTTATTAAAACTTTACCAAATTTTCGACCGAATTCGGTCGGAAATTGGTCAAATGCTTGTATATAATGTACAAAAATAATTATTTATTAAAATATTTCCAAATTTCCGACCGAAATCGGTCGAAAAGTTTGAAATAATTAATTTTTGTCTCCCTCCTCACACCCAAATCAACTCTTGTCTCCTTCCTCACCCAAAATCAAAGCCTCAACTGCTTCCTCCGCCGGCTGCCACCACTGCTTCCTTCGCCGGCCACCACCACCCACTGCTTTTACCACCCAAAATCAAACCCTCTCTCTTCTCTTTCAAGGTTAGTTATCTACATTTTTTTAATTTAAGTAATTTTAATTCTTCTATTGTATAAACTGGGATTTAGTTAATGATTAATTAGATTTAGGGTTTATCCGAAACAGTGGTACTGTTTTGTCACGACCCAAAATTTCTCACCGACGGGACCGTGATAGCGCCTAATATTTCACTTGCTAGGCAGAGAAGAATAGAAGTGAAACTTGTTCCTAAACGTCATAGCCTCTGGAGAATAAGCACAGACATCTCCGTACCATCCTCCAGACTCTACTAAGCTTGCTCGTGAATCGCGAGACCTAGGCAACCTAGTGCTCTGATACCAATTGTCACGACCCAAAATTTCTCACCGACGGGACCGTGATGGCGCCTAACATTTCACTTGCTAGGCAAGCCAACGTTAGAGAATCATTAAACCAATTCCTTATTCCCATTCAGTAATTAACAATAATTAACTAAGATGAAATATAATAAGTGCGGAATATCACAAAACTGTATTAATTACTGTCACCCAGATCTGGAGTCACAATTCACAAGCATTCTAGAATTTACTACAAGTAATAGTCTGAAAGAAATACAACTGTCTGAATGAAAGAAAACAGTAGGGCATAAAAGATAGACGGGGACTTCAAGGTCTATGAATGCCGACAAATCTACCTTGAGTCTCCGGACAGCGGACCAATAATAAAATCTCGATCAACCTGAGCCGGTATCAAAATCTACACAGAAAGTGCAGAGTGTTGCATCAGTACAACCGACCCCATGTACTGGTAAGTGTCGAGCCTAACCTCGATGAAGTAGTGACAAGGCTAAGGCAAGGCACCTACAAATTGACATGTACAATTTAACAGTGTATATACAAATAACAGAAATGAAGAACTAAATAGGAATTGTCG